ATAAAAATATTAATTAGAGAGTAGTTACTGTTTAGATAATCTAATTTCATTAATTAAATCTATTGTTATTGTATTATTTCGACAAGATTTTTTTTTGTAAAACTTGTTTTACAAATAATAACCACGTGTCTCGACGGCAACGCAATACTCAATTTCTCGTATTTCGACGTATCTTCACAGATCTTCATAGAACATCTTAAACATTTTTATACCAGACACACACGCGACTAGAATTTAGCATACAAATCTCTTTCTATCCTTTTAGCGAAAACGTTTTTGCGCCAACATAAATTTTCAGCGAATGGAAAGATTGCAGCTTTTCTTTTCTATCGCCACGGAAGTGGATCTCTTTCGAAGATGACAACAACGCGATTTAGCAGACACGGGAAGGTCGCCACGCGATGGCGGTGAGGGGGTGCCGAAGGGGTTTGCGCCGCTCTTTCGTGGTTGTATATTAGGGGCGTCACATTATTGGCCCCCGAGGCGCAACCGGGCTTTGTCGGTTGGCACACCGCCGGACGGATAAACCGAGTCCGAAGAACTGCTGACTTTTATAAGATAAACGGAGTAAAGACGCGTCTCGCGCGTACGGATGTGTACGGCAACGTTTTATATACCTCGGTATGAATCCGCGCAAATGAAGAACTGAACGAAGTCGTAATCAGTTTGGATGTGCAAACGTATGAGGTTTAATTTTTACTCACTTAATTTGTGAAATAACTCCGTATCTTTATTTATGATGTGAGTTTCAAAGAAATCATACGTTGGAGAAGTATTTCAAAAAGAAATAAGCTCATGGCACACACACACACACACACACACACACACACACGCGCGCGCGCGCGCGCGCGCACACACACACACACACACACACACACAGTGAGTGTATTAAAAATATAATTTAAGCGTGATTATGTCGTTGTAATTCCACAAGTATACCTAAATCGCATTCATGCGATATAAATAAATGTATGCCCATTTATTTAGTTTTTTTAACTGATATTAGAAGAATTTTCTTTAAAAATCTAAGCGCGCAGAGAGAGATAGAACTACTCGTAAAAAATTTATATGCAATTATTATTTATATGCAAGATTATAATAATCTCGATAATTTGCAATGATGTTTATAAAGAGTATGTACAATATTTAATGATACAAATGTCATATACAAATATATTCCTGTTATTTTATTTGACGGTTTTATTAGTCATCTCGAAGCACTTTGAGAAATCTATTTTTTATCGTCACAACAACCGAGTATCGATACCATATTTGCATGATAAAGCCGACTATGAGGCAAGCAAGGACGAGATCGAACACCCACGCCTTTATACAGATGGCGGCAAACATTCTGTACGATCAAATCAATGTGGAGATTCGATATTATCGAACCTCGTTTTATCGAACTACCAAGTCTCATGGAGTCGTGACAAGACGAATTGTATTGGTATATCTTCAATGAAGAAATTAATATTACGTCTTTAAATTATTGTCTTACGTTCTTTAAATAATTGTTTATATTTAATAAATTTAACTTTTTCTAAATATCAGGATACTTTGCGAGCGTTGCTCACGGATAATTGTTCAATATCGAGAGATTTATAATATACAATTAAAGAAAAAATTCATAATTTATGAAATACAATACTCAATTATTCTCTTTTTATATTAATTTATATTAACATCTAAAATCTCGTTAAATTGGTACTGGTTTAGGGAAAACGAAAGTTTAAATATCACAGTATTATAGGATTATAGGATTATCCTAGTGTTGATTTAGGATTTTAAATTCTAAACGTTATTTTAGTATTAGAATCAGATTAGTAAATCAATGAGGCGCCAGACGTTCTTAATTTCTATTTCAGATTATATTTGAATAAAAAGATTGTGAAAAATGTTCTTTGTAACAATATAAATATCTTATGTTATGCTAGAATTCAACAAATTTTCAGATATTTTTATTATTCTCTTTTATCAATCAATTATTTATTTGAGAGACTGTCTTTAGGAAATCTTCTTAAAAGATGTGTGTGTAAGATGAGGTTCAAGTAGCAATAAGAAATGTTTTTACTTTATAAACACTTTGTAAATTTTAATTGGGACAGTGAAAATGCATTTTATTTATTTATATTAAAAGCAAAAATATTTGAAAGAAACAATGCAAAATCAAACATGAACTAAATAAAAATCAAACAGGTAATTTTAAAAGAATGCTTAAAAGTATTTTTAAAAAAAACTTTTTTGGCAAATTTTTCTTCAAGAACATTTGTAGATGCCTGGAGCGAGATACAAATGAGTCAAAGCGAGATCAAATTTCAGTAAATAAAGACTTTGTATATTTAAAGAATCTATTGCATTATTTTATAATGAAATATTATGTAATATTTATCCATCTGCTAATAAATAATAATACGTTACTTGTTTCTTCCTAATACGCTCTTACGATTGTTTTATTATTACACCGTTTAAAATAATTTGCAAAAACTGTTTAAAAATAAAATTATTTTACATAAGATTCTTTTATAAAGTATTATATAACATTTTATAATACGTGATAATTTTTGCATAGCAGCAAATATTAAAATGTGAGGTTTTTGAGATAGCAGAATTATATAAGAATATTATCGTTGTTAAATTATTCGTAATCAAAATTAAAAATTTGATCTTGGGAGCGTAGAAGATGGAAAAAGAAGTATATAAGAAAATATTGGAAAATAAGAAAAATGAAACAAAAAACGTAAGAATGAATGAAAAAACAGAGAGGGAGATATGGAGAACGCACGGGACGAGGGAAGAAGATGGAAGAAACGAAGAAGATGAACGTAGACCGTTGGATCGAATGTAGAAGGAGAGGAGATGGTCGGAAGAGCGAAAAGAGACGGCAAGAGGGCGGGCGGACAGGGAGGGAGGGTGTGAGACGGGTAGGGGGACCAGAAAAAATCCGGGGATTTACGCGGAAAGGGCAAAATATTACCCCGCCCAGGCTTCATTCAGCCTCCGATTACGGGGTGGCTTTGGGTGAAAAGCACGCGTCCTCATTGGACGAGGGGCTAATATGGCGGTGTTAGGGGTTGCAAGGTGGGGCGCGGTGTACGCGATATTAAGGGTTGCTTTCATGTCCGACGAGCCAGTGCGTGGTGCGCCGTCGATTGACGCATTTTCCGTCGAGAAGGTGGAGAACAAAGTTCGGCATCTGTCTGTCTCTCCTCATTCCCTATCTTTCTTTCGTTCGCTCGTTTCCTTTCGTGTACCTTCTTCCACCTGGATCACATTCGACGAGGGTACATGCGACTCGGCGGCAGATTCAATTTGCGCGCGTGCCACCGGGGATGAAAGAATCTATGATTTGCCAGTGATTTACGTGGGTCAAGGACTGCTATTTCGTATTACCATTTGTTTGCAAATCGCGGGAACCTACGTCAGTGATTTCCGAAGACGATTCCTGCCTCAGATATGGCCCAGACTTATAATCAGAAGAGAAATGTGTACAGCATTGACCAGATATTGGGTCACGGCAAGGATGAAGGTACGACAAAGTGTTTTCAATTCTTCTTTTTAAAAAATGCGTGCAAATTAGTTACATGTGCAAACTCGAGACATTCAGATTTCTTTTTGGGTGTGAGTAAAATAATTCTTTCAATTATGTGTATATAAAATTATTTTTTCGCTTACTACTAGGATGACATACACATATATTAATTAATTATATTTATAAATTGAAATATTAATATTTTAATCAAAATATATATTTATTATATAGTTATTATCTTTTATTTATAAGTATAATAAACTTTTAAAAATCGAAAGAGCAATTGTCAACTTAGAAAAATATAGATGTCTGTTTATTAAATGCAATGGGGAAATGTTAATTTTTTTCTTTGACAAATTTTATATATAAAACAATTAGGCAATTAATTATTATACATAAATATACATAAATATTATACATAAAAATTATTTTATATTTATCGCTAGACTCAAGAATTCTACTCTGGATCGATAAATATATCTTTATTTTATTTCATTGTTTTGCATTGTAAGAAATAGTATTATTTGAATGGCTATAAGAAACTTTCAAAATTAAAAAACATATAATTTACTTTCTTATATACAATCTTTAATTGACTTTGCTTTTTTAATCTTTTTATCTCTTCCCAAACATTCATATCTTTTTATACAAATGTTAATTACATTAAAAAATTTTTTATTATACTATTCATCAACTAACTGATTGTACGTGTTTCGAAATTGAAATTGAAATTTACAATAACATATTTAGCACGATAAATCGTGTCTCTATTCGCGAAACGATCGTAACGACCGTAAGATCGATAACTTCATTCGCTCGCGGAATACTTGATTCGTCAACAAGAAAGTTTGTTACAGTTTTTATTACCTCGATATACAGATCGATCGCGATGTGATCGCGGTGGGCACGCTCTTTTTTTTATTAACAAAGTAGGTTATCTAGAGGTGGGTACATTAGGTGAATAAACAACGAACGAACATGAAATGTATAAATGTATAAATTTTCATTGTTAATGTTAGGGAAATATTTTTACGCTACATAAAATGCCAACAAAATATTTATCAACTTCTGATTTGCTTATGAGATAGGAAACATTAGAGAAAGTTTTAAATAAAAAAAATCTTTCACATTTCTTTGTCATTTATTTAATCAAGTCATGTCTATTTTGAGGTGATACGTCATTAGTGAAATGCGATTATTACTCGATAAGACGGATATTAGATAGTATTATATAGTAATATCTAAATGATAACCGGCTGATTCTCGAAGTCATTAAAGATGATTTAATTTTGATAGTTCTAGATAAAGTCATAGAAACAGTCTTAATGAGCATTTTATATAAATATTTATTAATTCTTTTTTTTAAATAAGGTAAGATAAATCAATGAAACAAGTTATGAAATATGACATACATTATATAAAATATCTGCGAATATTTATTTCAATTTATAAGTTATCTTTAAAACTAGCAATTATCCGTCTTGGTTTCTTTGATAAAAAAAAAAATATACAAATTTATAAAAAAATTTTAATATTTTATTATTACATTTCCAGAAGTGTATTATTTGTAAAAGGTAACAAATATGCGCATAAATATAATCGGATGCAAAATATAATCAGAGAAAATAAGAAATAGGTTATCTCGATCTCGAAAATTAAGAAGTTCAACTTCAATTGTAGATAAGGAATTATGAACTTCGGATAAGGAGATACAATCTCATAGACTATATATCATTAATCTAAGGATTGTGCGATTAAAGGCAACGTAACGTAATTAGGTCGTCGCAGGTTACAGAATCTGTGGTGACGATCGGTGTAACGTGAATTCTACACGGTGTTGCGACACGCGAGTGCATGCGCGTGATTAGATTGCGGAGAGGCGCACGAACGGCGAGCGGATTGTTTCGATGCGTTCATTTTTGCGGAATCGTCATGGCGTGATAAATCGTGTTATCAAGTTTAAAGAACTACATTGTTACGTGCACTGGCTATCGGCTGTGCCGCAATTGAGGCTTATGGGCAAATAAAACGAAATATGACGATCGCCGCCGCGATGTTTTTATTCAATGCACGAACGCATTTTTGTCTTTTACCGCTCACTTTAAGTTACTTTTTTTACTGTAATAATATTGCCTCGATAAAACATTAGGAGACTGATAAATAACTTATAAATGAGTTTATTTTTGAGTGATTAAGTTTTAAGAGCAAAGTAAGAGATATAATTGCCCTAACAATTTGATTACACTTGTGATTAGATATTGATTTTTTTTTAAATAGATTTTAATGAAATATAATTAGGATTTGAAATTCAATTAGGAAGATATCTTAAATCGAGTGATTGCTATAAATAATATTTTTTTTCGGTAACCCGCCTAAAGAAACGTTAGCTTCGGAAAGGTGACAAAATACATAGCAAGATATAATTTTCTTATTAAGTTTGTACAGGTATAAATTACTTGAGCATATCGTGCGAGCGTGTCGTGATTTCGAGATTGTTAACAATTGCAATGAAAAGTAACATTGTTTTCAATATTGCAATCTCAAATGATCGACTCAATGATGCTTTTATCTCGGATTTTCCATTTTTTATGAAGGATATCTTCTTTTCTGGGAGGATTTACATAGTTTTTTTTAATTTATATGCGATTG